ATTTCTTTCTAATATTGATGTCTTTTATTTTTCTTGTGTGATTGTACAGGAAGACTGCCTGACTCAGTTTAGTTTTTCTCTTCTGGTGTTGTAGGCTTGAAATCTTTTCCATGTGGCAAATTAAGGCCAGACAAAGTACTCGCTGTGTTTATTATCTCTCAGATGGAGTCTTGGTATTTCCAAAGGATTGATTTTGGGGCAGCTTACTTTTCCCAGGAGACCTCTAAATTCTGAGATGCTCAAGTTTGAGGTGCATATTTCCATATAGTTGAAATTATTCTAAATCAGTTACTACTAATACAATGTATGCAGTATGTAAATATTTATTTATGTAAATAGCATATTGTTTAGGGAATAATGGCAGGGAAAATAGCTTGTGCATGTTAAGTACATAGTATCTGAGTGAGATGGAGGCAAACCTTGATTAGGGAAAGAATGCTGAGGAGATAGTGCGAACCTATGAAGTGGAAGAACCCTAACAGAGTATCCCTACACGTTCTTCACTGTCATGGATTAGCATAATGTGAAGTGCACAGCAAGGTCAGTATTTGCTTTTGGGACCTTTAAGGGAGTTTTGTTCTCTCTCTCTAAATATTTCTATCCGAAGATAAAGAACTCCTGGATACAAAAGACCCACTATATTTTTACTGTGGACTACTCTCTGAAATGGTGGTTTTGTTCAGGAAGGTGAACCCTTTTGCTTCTTTTTGTATGAAAGCAAAAGTCTCTGGCTCTATTTTAAATGTATCCCAATCAAAGTTTTATGTTCATCACAGATGCTGAAACAGTAGCTACTTCCCAGTCCTCCTTTCCATGTATTAACGGCATTTAAAATCTTTAGCACTTGTTTTTGGTTGTTACTTAGGTTGGTGTACAGAATGCTTACTCTTCCTTCTCCCCTACTCATTCTCCTGTCATCTTTCTCTTCTTTCAAACCTTTCTGTGCTTTAATAGACCACCAATAGTGGTCTTCAAGTTTCCTTCTCTTTGCTTATTAACTGATAAGTGATTTTAAGCAGTCTCATGTCTTCACAAGCCTCGCTCCTTGTAAATTGATACTAGGAATTTGCATGAAATCTGTCAGTTTGTCCAGAACAGCATTGTGTTAGGTCTAGCTGGTTTTCCACCATGCCCTGTGGTTTTGAAATAGGTATCTCATACACAAGAAGTCTAAAACTGATTTGGAACTGTATTCTTGTTTAAAGGTTACCCTTGCTAGAGCTGCTTGATAGATGGGTCTCCTCTCATTGTCCATGCACTGACAGAAGTCATGGAATCATTTGCCTTATCTGCTTCTTTTCCACGCTTGCTCATCCTGTCTGCAGTGCTTTTCAGAATGTGCTTCAAGCCCACCTTCTGTCTTAATGTGATGAATAACTTCTGTGATTGATGTTTGCTTTGTTCCAAGGAGTGACCGATGTAAAAATGTAAGTTAGAACTGTGCATATTCCTGCTAGAAATTCCCCAGTGGTTTCCCATCTTAGTCAAGACAAAAGCCAGCAGATCTGGTCCCTGTTCCCGTGGTGGCTTTATTGTCTTTTACTCTTACACTCATGTACCCAGTGAATCTGAATTGTTCTTTATCTCTTTTACCCGTATCTCTCATCTTGCCATGCTTCATTTTCCTCCAAAGTTCTACTTAAAATGTGTATGTGTAACTTTACTTAACATTATTTCTGAATAGGACAGTAGACTCAGTAAAAGCTGGGGTTTGTCTGCTCTAGGAGTGTTCCCAGTGCCTAGAAATGTGTCACATACGGAATACATGTTTCAGACATAATGATGAATGAATGATTGGTTCTCTTAATTTTTGTATGTGACACAAATTTTTATAAGAATATAAATATAACCTCAGAGTTCATCTTTTCTAGTAATGGCATGAGAAAAAAAAGAGATTCTTTCATATTGAAAGAATATTCGAATTTGCAGTGTAAAAGTAGTAATTTAATTCACTTCACTATTCTAGTATTTCTGTTTAAATAATCAGGATTATTTTTCTCCTTTTTCTTTTTTTTATTTGCAAACAATCATTTTACATATCAATCACCCATACCCTTTCCCTCCCATCTCCCTCCTATTCTAACCCCTCCAACCCACCCTCACTGCTCCCCAAGGATGGTGAGGCCTTCCATGGGAGATCATCAAAGTCTGTCACATAATTTGCACAACAACCTAGGCCCTGGGTTGGAACTGGGTTGAAATAGTATCCTTCCATAGAGAATGGGCTCCTGAAGTCCATTTGTGCACTAGGGATAAATACTGGTTCCACTGTTAGAGGTCCCATACACTGCCCAGGCCTCCTAACTGGCACCCGCATTCAGAGGGTTTGGTTCATTCAGTTCAATGCTGGTTCCCCAGCTTTACCACTGGGGTCCCTGTGCTCTCACTAGGTTAGGTCAGCTGCTTCTGTAAGTTTCTCCAGCACCGTATTGACTCTTTTGCTCATCCCTTCTCCCTCTCTACAACTGGATTCCGTATGACTCAGTGCTTAGCTGTGGGTGTCTGCTTCTGCTTCCATCAGCTACTGGATAAAGGCTCTAAGATGGCAATTAAGGTAGTCATCAGTCTCATTATAGGGGAAGATCATCGAAGGTCGCCTCTCCACTACTGCCTAGATTCTTAGTTGGTGTCATCCTTGTGGATCTCTGAGCGTTTTCCTAGTGCCAAATTTCTCTTTAAACCTATACTGGCTTCCTCTATTAAGGTATCTCCTTTCTTGCTCTCCTCTTTTCCTCCCCATCTCAGTCTTCCTCGTCCCTCTTGTTCTCTTACCCCCTCCTCTTCTCCCCTTCTCTTTTTCCTACCTCCCTCTTCTCTCCCCCCTTGCTCCCAATTTGCTCAGGAGTTCTTGTCCTTTTCCCCTTTTTTGGGGGACCATGTATTTTTCTTTTAGGGTCTTCCTTGTTTCCTAGTTTTTCTGGAGGTGTAGATATATGAGTGAGTACATACCATGCTTGTCTTTCTGTGACTGGGTTACTAAAATGGAAAACAATGCTACCGGAAAAGGAGGTCTAAGATACTATATTAAATATAGAAACCACTTAACTGGGAAGAGCACTATGGTCTCCAAACCATGGCCAGGATCCAAGACAGAGATTTACTTTCTGTTTTCCCTTTTATTTCTTGCCTGTCTCACGTACCCCTGTCCACGCACTCTATCTCGGGTATGTGAGCTTTCCCCTACAGGTTACCTCACTCAGGATGGTTTTTTCTAGTTCCATGTATTTGCCTGCGAATTTCAAGATTTCGTTTTTTTTTTTCCACTGAGTAATACAACATTGTGTAAATGTACCACATTTTCTCCATCCATTCTTTGGTTGGGGCATTCCAGGTTCTGATTATTATGAACAATGCCGCAATGAACATAGTTGAATATATGTCCTTGTTGTGTGAATGTGCATTCTTTAGTTATATGCCCAAGATTTGAATGGCTGGATCACGGGGCAGACTGATTCCCATTTTCCTGAGGAACCACCATACTGATATCCAAAGTTTTGTTGTACAAGTTTGCACTCCTACCAGCAGTGGAGGAGTGTTCCCCTTTCTCCACATCCTCTCCAGTACAGACTGTCATGTGTTTTTGATTTTAGCCAATCTGGCCAGTTTAAGATGGTATCTCAGAGTTGTTTTAATTTGTGTTTCCCTGATGGCTAAGGATATTGAACACTTTGTCTCTTTCAGCAATTTTATATTCCTCTATTGAGAATTCTCTATTTAGTTGAATTGTTTGGTGTTTTTGTGACAAAGGCTGAACAACAAGGGAACTGCTATCTCTTCATGCTTCCGCCTGGCCCTGTACTATTATACTTAGTGCATGTGCCCAGTTGTTTGCTTTTGAAGAACTGATTCATATTAGTATTTGTATGTTGAATTTCATTTTCCCTTCAGCTGCTAGTTTTCAGATGCATTGTTTCTGGGGGCACTAAATATTGACTGAATGACTATTCAAATATACAAGAATATGCAAAAGTTACATTTTTGTGACTGTAGTGCTTTCATGGATCAACTAGCACTCTCCTGTCTGAAATAATAGAACATTCATCTTTATTAACTAATGGTACGAAGCTTAACTGGTAAATGTTGAAGTGATATAGAGCAGAAATAGTATATTTTAGCATGGTTTTCCTGCCAGAAGCACTTACGAAAAAGCTATAGAGTTCTTGGTAGGAAAATTAATTGTTGGCTGTTCCTTAGACTTAGACTCTAAACTTACAGGTAATGGTAAATTTTAAGCAATTGATTTAAGTAAATGTTTTAAAGCATTTACTGAGCAGTGTCTTCATTAAAGTGATCCATCCGTATTGGTCTTCACAATGATCATTATTATCTATGGCTTTTAGGAGAAGTTTTGTGTTATTTCAGTTTAAACCAGCTGGTGGATTTTTTCTTCAATCAGCTGAAAAAATTTCATATTCATATAAAGCATTTCTTTAGTGTTTTATGGATAATATTGGTCTGTCTTCAAAATTTTTTTCACAGAATTTTAGCATTGAAGGATTCCACAAGAAGCTACTTTGATCTTAGATGTTATACAAATAAAGTTATTTATTGTTACATTAAAAAATACCTTAAAATTTAGTAATTTTGACATAACATTCAGTCATCTTAGGTTTTTTGAGGGGGACACATCTAGACATGTTTCAGCTGCACCCTGCTTTAGAATCTCACAGTGCTGCAGTCAAGGTGGCAGTTAGGTTTGAAATTTCATGTGAAGTCTTGATATGGGGAAGATCTGCTCTTAGGCTTGCCTCCAGCATAGTCCCCGTTCCACTGAACTCTCTGTTGGCTGATTTGATGGACTTTTTCGTTCTGACTTCAAGCTGAACCTGGATCTCTGCTCTTTGTAGTCTCTTATGGGTGTGTGGGGGGGGGGAGAGGAGAGAGAGGGAAATGGGTGGGTGGAATGTGTATGTGTGCAGAGAAAAAGGGAAAGTGACTGTTAGCATACATTTTCCATTGTCAAAACTACAGTACATGTGTTTTGTGTTTCCTTTATATAGGTGCCTTAGCTGGATCAATTATCGTGGAGCCACATGTCACAGCAGTGTGGGGAAAGAATGTTTCTTTGAAGTGTTTAATTGAAGTGAATGAAACTATAACACAGATTTCATGGGAGAAGATACATGGCAAAAGTACACAGACTGTTGCAGTTCATCATCCTCAATATGGATTCTCTGTTCAAGGAGACTATCAGGGAAGAGTCTTGTTTAAGAACTACTCACTTAATGATGCAACAATTACTCTGCATAACATAGGCTTCTCAGATTCTGGAAAATACATATGCAAAGCTGTTACATTCCCACTTGGAAATGCCCAGTCCTCTACAACTGTGACTGTGTTAGGTAGGTGTGCTTGAGTTGGGTTTGATTATTATATAAATGTTATATCAAAATGTTTTCAAGACTATAAAATGAGGCTTTTGTAAATTTGTTTTAAATTAAAAACGTTCAAATAAGCATTCTCAATTTCTGTCTTAAAGTTGTATATTTCTAGGCTCACTTAATATAAGCAAAGTCTGTGTGTACCTGTCTGTAATGCTGCATAGTTTTAGCTCTTTTTTTCATAATGGGTGGCACTTTAATTATAATAATGGATGTGATTTTCAGCTGGGCATGGTGACTTACACCTGTATAATTCCAGCTCTTGAGATTATTGCCATAAATCCAGGTTACCATGAAATCTTGCTCTTAAAGCAAAATCTGAACTCCTAAAACATTTTTACTACTTCATTCAATTTTAAAACTTTAGTTATATTTTGTTGTTTAAATTATTCCTGGTTTTTTTGTTTGTTTTTCTCCAGTGACTTGCATTGGCTTTCATGGAGCATTTTGCCACCTTGTATTTCAGCTTTTCACAATTATTTTTATTCCTGCCATTGAAGACTTGTGTACCTATTTGAATTATATACTGTTTTCCATAATGAATTATATTTCACTGTTTCCTACCTGAGTTATTAAAGTTTATGGTGAAACTTTGAATAAACCTGTTAGCATTGTGGTTAACTCCCTGAAGTAGAATGTAAAACAACTGGAAATGTAGAGGAGTACTGTAGTAGTCATAGATCTGGGAAAGAGGAGCAAGAGCAATCTATAGCTGACGTGGAGGAGAGGCGCTGCTCAGCTCCTTTCCTCCTCCAGAAAGCCTCGTTGCTCAGATAGAGGAGCCAACACTTACGCTAAGGCCAGTAAGATTTCCTTAAGAAGATAAAGGTGAATTGGTGAACATAAGAAGTATTTTATAAAAGGAATGGTTGTTAGCCTTCAAGTAATGGGTAGTTTGGGTTCAGTACATGGAAGGAAATTTAGGGAAACCTACTTGGATTGAACAGACAGCCAAGTCTGAGAGACACTTGGAGTGAAGTTGCCTTAATTCTCAATTGTTGAATGTGGGAGCTAAAATTGTTGAGAACTCTGTCCTATTCATCATAGAGTGCTTTGCAGATCCATGGTCTCCAACCCATCAAATACCAGTAACACTCATTGTGATGAAAATCTCTCACCACACAAGTGTCCTCTGGGAAAGTATAAGATAGAAGGAATTGATATGATTGGAATTGGGCCACTGAAAAAGGAATTTGTCAGTTGAGCAAAGTATTTGTATGAAGTATAAGACATCTTAAATCTGGAGCATATCAAAATAACTTGAATGAAAGAGAAAACTGATATTTTTATTGTAAATGGGATCTTGTGTTCCTGCCTCATCTGTTCTCAAGCCCTTGCTGCTTTAAAGTTAATTCGTAAGCCAACAGCCTTGGTCTCACTTGGAAGTGTGACCAAGGAAAAGTAACTTAAACAGTATCTTTAAAAATTGACTTTAAATATACATGTTTCTCAAGGAAACAAAAGCTTTAGTGAATATATTTTTTCACACCAGCTCTTCTACTGAGGTGTTTGGAATCTCAAAGTATGACTACATTAATACTGGGAGAAGATGAAAGTGTTGAAAATAACCTTGTCTGAAGCTGATTCATCCTGGAGATACTGAATAATTAGGAAGAAACATTGTAATGCTCAGATTTGGGGTTCTCATCCTTTGGGCTAAGATCAAGTGAAGCAAGAGGCAAAGTCTTAAGTTTAGCTCTGTCCAGTATGGAGTATCTTACTTCATGTGCTTTGTAGCTCAAATGTTTGCACTGTCAGAGTAGTATTAAACTCAACATAAATTGTTTTTGAAGAGCCATAGACCCAGTATATATTAACCTCAGTGGGCAGAACTTGAGAAAATCCTGGTTTTCTGGTAGCTGGGCATAAAGAAAGACATATCTCTGGAGGGGATATATTTAGTCTCAAAGTATTTTCACATGAATAGTTCAGATATAGTCTGCCCTCTAATTGAGGCCCACCAATCTTACAAATGAAGAAGGTTAGTCTTCAACTCCCTATACAAATAAGATTGCAGAAACTTGTGTCTGGGGTATGGCTCATACAGGAAGGCTGGTTTGGGCCCCAAGCTCCACATAAATTGACCTTAACATGGGGGCACATTCTTTTGTAATTCCTGCATTCTGGAGATGAGGCAGGCAAAACAGAAGCTCAGTCACAGCAGGCTACAGAATGAGTTTGAGTCCAGCCTTAGATACATAAGACTGCCTTAAAAAACACACAGATTGATCTACGGAGACATAGGTTGCTGGAATTACCAGAGACTTTTAAACAATATTGCTTATACCATTTGGAAAAATGCATCAATCTATATATTATGGAAATAACTAGAAACAAACTAAAATCACATAGTAGTTGGCCTCAAATTGGGGAAAGAGTATTGCTTGGTACATAGTCAACCATCAAAGTAAATAAAAAAAAAACACATAACTCAGTACACTCGAAATAACATTTAAAAAATTATTGGGGATGATAAAACTCAATGACAGAGCATGAGTCTAGCTAGCATCTACAGGACCTTGATTCATTTCCTGAGCATCTCAAAACAAAGAGAACAGTAGAATGGCAAGGTCTTTAAACTGATAGGAATAATCTGTGCTACATATAATTTAGAAGAAACTGCTTTCAAAGATTTATGTACAGCCTTCACAAAACAGTTAAAAAAGTAACCTCAATATGTATTTGTCAGAACAGAAGTCGAAAATGACTCTAAAACTTATTGATACTCTCTACCCTTGTTCATAACCTGAGAAATTTAAATCTTAATGATGTGTCATACCATATATGAGATTGGAATACTGAATAGTTTAATAACATTAGTTGGTGAATATGTGGATCCATAGCTTGAAGATTGCAAGTTAACTGGCACCTTAAGGAAATTTATGTGAAGTTGAAAATAAGCATGATAGAAGCAGTTCTAGTGTTTGAGACAAAACAGAGAAAGTTGCATGTAAATATATCGATATGTATAAGAATGATGGCTATAAAACTAGGAAGAATAGGGAACAACCCTAGTATCTACCAGTAATACATTTTGGCATAAATAAATGACTTACTGTATAAATAAATCTACAATAGTAAAAATTCCACGTGAATATAAATCATGGAAAATGAATAGTTAAGTGAGTTTAAAAACAACAAAACTAAATAAATGAGTCTATTGAGTGCAAAGTTGAATCAAAGAAAACCTGCACAAATAATGTGCAGTAGTTCTCTTATACACTCCAGGTACTGGGAAGTAAGGCTGTCTGCTTAGGATTTGCCTTATTGATTCTAATGAGGAGATATTTAAAAATTAATTTATCACATTAGATTTATGGTTCCACATTAAAGTAGATAGAGTAGATAGGGTAAGACAAGGATAGGCAAGGAACTTGTATGAGTTGCTCATGTTTCGTTCAGATGGTGGTGGTTACTTGAATATTTGCTATCATTACATATGTTTCTTTTCCTTTCCCTTGTTTCTCCATGAGGAGGTACATAGAGAAATATTAATAGCCTTTAAAGTAAAATATAGAGCAATAGTAGGTATGAATTAGAGATAGCGCAAAACCTTTACTTATTTATAAAGATTATTTGCTTTAAACTTTATGCTCAGGATGAAGTTATATTCACAATTAAAGCAATGGCTTTAATATAAAGGAAATAATGATTGGGGTCACAGAAATCTTTTAATTGGGTTGTATTTCATTCATCTTAGAAGGTAAAACTTTATCAGGGACAGCTATCTTTGTGATGATAATTTAAAACTTAACCTTTTATTTTGGGAATGCCCTTGATGTTGGCATTACTTAAAAAAACACTTGTATGATTTTATTTGTAATATTATGAAGTATTTCTAGATGTGGCTAGAACAAATTGTAATTACTTAATTGAAGTACAACTTTTTCTTTTCTTTTTTTTTTTTACAGTTGAACCTACGGTGAGCCTCATAAAGGGGCCAGATTCTTTAATTGATGGAGGAAATGAGACAGTAGCAGCCATTTGTATAGCAGCCACTGGAAAACCAGTCGCACATATTGACTGGGAAGGTGATCTTGGTGAAATGGAATCTACTACAACTTCCTTTCCCAATGAAACAGCAACGATTGTCAGCCAGTACAAGCTCTTTCCCACGAGATTTGCTAGAGGAAGGCGAATTACTTGTGTTGTAAAACATCCAGCCTTAGAAAAGGACGTCCGATACTCTTTCGTACTAGACATACAGTGTAAGTACTGCCAGGGTCTGTTTACTACACAGAGTGTAAGTGCATACCAGTGTCTACTTTCAGCTTATGCTACATACCAAATTTTCTCCTGTTGCCCGAGTTCTTGAATACTGAGCATGCAGACATTTTTACAGCAGAGTTTGCTCAACTTAAATATGTTTAACTGTGTCTTTTTGAAACTTTGGAGTAGGCTAACCTTCAGCAAGCTGTGGAACTGTGTACTTCAGATATGTACCACTTAAAAGATAAGCAACTGCATCGTGTTTAACTGGGCTGCTGACCCTGCCCCAGGGTCTTCAGTTTTTTCAGTGAGAACCTTACTTGGCAGGTGGTTAATCTAGAGGCTCTCTGTGAGTTCCTGGACAGCCTGGTCTACACAGCAAATTCCAGGACAGCCAGAGCTACACAGAGAAACCCTGTCTGGAAAAACAAAACAAGCAGTCCTTTACTTTCCAGATACATTTTAGCTATTTTAAAAATCTGTCTTTCTGCAGTATTGTTCTAAGTTGATCTTAACTGATAGTATCATACAATTTTTATATGTGTGTGTTGAAATATCTTAAAGCTATCATTTGTGATGGTAAAAATTATATACAAGAATCAAAACTGCCTACTTTGTACTTAAATGTTTTGAGGAGTTCTCTCACCTGTGTTTATATTTTCATGTGTACCTGCATTTCACTTTTCAACAGTTTCTGGTTTTGATGCATTGTGATTTGTTTAGAATTTTAAATTTTTGAATAAAAATAGTGGTTGCTTTCTCTCAGCAAGGGTGGCTACCATTATTCAGATTGTTATTGTCTGCTATCATTTCCATAAATGGCAGATTGAAGATTTCTTTGTTAGGGTTGTTTTATAATTGTTACTAAAGACACTTTTGACTGCAGTAAATAGATAGTTTTATTACTATTAAAGCCCTAGATATTTATGGTACTTGTATTTAATCTCAAAAAATGTGTGCCACAGCCTACATGTGCACTGAATATTACTTAATTGTAATATGAATCTTATTTCTCTTAGATTAAACTTCCTTTTCAAGACAGTTATATAAGGTACTTGGTACTAAGGCAGTACCCTAATGCTATGTATCCTTATTTAATTAAGTACTATAATATATTTGTTTTGTTTATGAGTCTATATCTTTAATAAAGGAATTTATGAAATCTTACATTCAGCATCCCTGCTAAAGAAAGCCATGAATTCCATCCATCCATCCACCAACCCACCTGCCACCCATCATTGTCTTAGTCAACTACTATTAACTAATTATTGTCTTCCTGGGTGATTACGGTGAAAGTAAGGAAAAATAATTTCCATTCTTTTAAAGCTTATTCATTGTATTGTTGTACTTTCATTGTATAGTGTATTTACTCCTAACAAATGATGATTGTAACTATGTTCATTGATTTTATAGATGCTCCTGAAGTTTCAGTTACAGGATATGATGGAAATTGGTTTGTGGGAAGAAAAGGTGTTAACCTCAAGTGTAATGCTGATGCAAATCCTCCACCCTTCAAGTCCGTGTGGAGCAGGTAAAGCAGAGTTAAATCCACAGTAGATGATTACTTAAAGGAGAGAGGTATTCTTAAGTGCATTAAGATGATTTCAATTAGTGCTGTGCATAATTAAATTAATAGCTGAAGAAATTAAACAAATGAAAAGTTTCTCAGTATTTTTCTACCCTCTTGCTGTCTCTTACCATCCTGTCCTCACATTTCTGTTCTTTACTGGCAGCAATGTGAGAGATTTTACCTTTTTTCTTTTTTCCCTCTAATTGCTATCATAAGTCTGATGAAAGCTAGTCAGCAGAGAGGAAGCTTCCACTTAAGGTTCAGCTTGATTTCTCTGTATTCTATAATTAGGATGTGTGATATCTTCAGCAATGGAGTCTTTTTTATCTCATTCAGATATACAACCAGACGAAATGGCAAGAGGTTATATTGTCTAGGGCCTCTAGTTCCTAGCTAACTAGCAGCTTATAGAGACATCTCACATCTAATACTGGGATTGTTGTTTAGTGATTTTGTGGCCTATTGGAACAGGAGCAACACTATCCAAACCCTGCAGGATGACTCTTTTCTAACTCTTTCTCTTGTTTTTGGTCTACATTTAAGTTAGTGAGGCTCCTTATGGCCTTTTCATATATACTTCATTGGGATTACTCCTTTCTGTCAAGATAAGTCCCCTGTTGCATCCCTACCTTTCCTATCCTTAACTTTCTTCAACTTTCCATCTCTGGTGTTCCTTCTGTCTACTTGCATATCACCCATGTTCTGCTTCACCCCGTTTATGGTACACCCAACCCCAGTGACCCTTTTTGACTTTCCTGACTCCTTCAGGTACTTCAAATTAAACACAAATATAAAAATTCAGTGATAGGATCTATATACGAGACAGAACATGGAGTGTTTTGTTTCTCGGCGTGGGTTACCTCACTCAATTTTTCTAGCTTCATTTACTTGTCTTATTTTCTTACAGCTGAATAAAATTATATTGTATCTTATCTGCTACATTTTTATTATCCATTTATCAATTGCTGAACATCTGTCTAAGCTGATTGCATGTCTTAGCTGTTGGTAATAGATCAGCATTAAGCATTTTTGAACACACATCTCTGTAGTATGATATAGAGTCCTTTGATTATATCCCTAGCAGTGGTATGATAGTTCTATTTCCAGCCTCTTGAAGAACTGACTTATATAGTGGCTTCATTGCTTTAACTCCCACTAACAGTGACTAAGTGTTATCTCCATGGTATTTGTAGTCAATTGATTTATTTTATTTATTTTTATTTACTTTATTTTTGTGTATGTGTTTGCATATGTATATCCTGTTCATATAGGAGCCCATAGAGGCCAGTAAAGGGCATTATAATCCTCTGGATCTGTAATTAGACAGTTGTGAATGACTATATGAGTGCTAGGAACCAAGTACAAGTCTTCTACAAGAGCAACAAGTGCCCATTACTGCTGAGCCATTTCTACAGCCCTTCATATGATTTCTTGATGATAGCCATTCTGGCTGATAAAATAGACTTTAAAGGTAGTTTTAGTTTCCCTGATGACTAACAATGTCTAACTTATAAAAATGTGTATTAGCCAATTGTATTTTTCTTTTTTTTTCTTTGAGAATTATCTGTTTAGATTGTTTGTTTCATCTCTGTTGCTATGGTAAAACACCCTAAGCAAAAGTAAATTAGGGGAGGAAATATTTTATTCCCATTTATAGGTCACAGTTCATTGTTGAGGAAAGTTGGGTCAGGAATTCAAGCAGACAGCTAACTTTGGTATATAACCCAGGTTCATCTACCTAAGGATGGTGGTGCCCACAGTGGACTGGGCCTTCCTATGTCAGTTAGCAGTCAGGTAAATGCCAAAACCTTTCACCAGTCATGTCCATAAATCCAATCTGATCTGATATGACTTATCAGACTGATAATTAAAGCAAACTAGGACTTAGCTCCATAACCTGTTTTTAAATTAGATTCTTTTCTTGATATTTGTTTTATTTTCTTGTGTGTGTGTTGTATACTTTAACTCTGTAGATACATAGCTGATGAGGATTATTCTTTCATGGTATGGACTTTTCTTTGCTGTACAGAAGCTATTTAATTTCATGAGGTCCAATTTGTCAGTTGTTGGCTGTTTTCTAAGAGACTCATTCTGTTTAAGAAGTCCTTGCCTATGACTGTATCTTGTAACTCATCACCTTCCTTTCCCTGTAACAATTTCATAGTTGATATTTTATGTCTTTTATCCATTTAGAGTTGGTTTTTGTGCCAGGACTCATCTGCAGATGTAGTTTGTAGTTTCCCTCTGCAGTGAATGGTGTTGAATATATATCGCCATGGCTGTTCAAGGTGCTGAGACCAAGTACTAGTTGAATGTTCATCCTTGAATAGGAAGGACATTTGTACAACCCCAACAAATGCTCAGGAATATTTTGAAGAGTGGGTGGGAAATGAAAAGCAGAAAGATAGGGAGAAGAGCTGGCAGTCTATTCTGACCCTATGCAAGATTTGGCCTGTTGCCAGTCAGTTGGTCATCAAGAAGGGACTCGTGGAGCCCAGTCCCTGCTTACTGAACTATTAGCTATCTTATATTCTGGGGAAAGGGATGAAATATATTGTCTTCAGTTAGGTACTCACAGATGAGCCCAGTAGACCCCAGTGGATAATTCCAAATCCATGGTCACACTAATTAATAGCCTTGGTAAAACTCAGTGTGCCACAAAAAGACATGCATAGGACAAGTGACTCTTGAGGAGTGGGCGGAAGGTTTGGAGCTTCAGAAATGGTAGAGGGCGACAGTTACCAGAATGCAGTGTATATGTAATTGGTGAAATTGTGGAAGAAATTTAATAAAAGCTATGAAAATCTTCCCTCTCGTTATGTTGACCTATCTAGCATACATAGACTAATTTTCTGAAGAAGTGGGTGTACTTATTGGACTTGGATAGTTCATCTTTGTTGAAATGAAATTTATATGCATTCACAATTATATCCAAAAGATAGGGAGTTTTAATGGCATCTTAAAAGTGTACCAGTTTAAATAATTGTCAGTATTTGCTGTTTTAACCTATTTAAAATAATGTCATACTTTTTAAACATCTAGGTTGGATGGACAGTGGCCTGATGGTTTATTGGCTTCTGACAATACTCTTCATTTTGTCCATCCACTGACTTTCAATTATTCTGGTGTTTATGTCTGTAAAGTGACAAATTCCCTTGGTCAAAGAAGTGATCAAAAGATCATCTACATTTCAGGTAAGCTATTGCCTCCTTTCAAGAGCAGTTAATAATTACAGTGTAATACTGCGCTATAAATTATTATGCTCATAAGAGTTTTGATTCATTGATAGTAATAGCGTCTAAAAGATGTATATAAAGTTCAATTCTTTAAAGAAATGTCAAAATGTAAATGCAACAAGTTCTACATAATTCTTTGGCTGGTAGCATGCCTTTCTAATTTCTTTGGTGTTCAAATAATAAACAGTGTTTTTGTTTTTTTTCTTTTTCTTTATTTGCTGCTTTGCATGTAATTGTCTGATTAATAAAGTGGGTTATTAACTTTGTTCATTTGGCTTCAGAAATACCATTGCTTGCCATTGGAGATTAGATGCCCATTTTAGGTTAATGAGAAATGAAGTAAAAATGCTACTGTGTTTTAATTAAGTGAAATTTGGTATTTTTCATCAGTTTTTATTTTTTCATATACTGTTTGTTTCACTATGAGATTTTCGTTAATTTGGTTTAGTGCAAATTTGAACATTCACAAAATAAAAAAGCAGAATCCACATTTTTTTATTAATAGCTATAAATTACCCATGAGGTACTATTGTAGGAAAAATACATTAAATATTTGAGTAATTCTTAATGATCAAAAGGATATAGCATTCTTCACGTCTAACACATGGGTAAAGAGAATGAGCAAGAGGAGGACTTTGAGATTAAGGTTTGTATCATGGAATGGATAGTAATGGTGCTCAGTCTCTTCAAATGTATGTCTAAGTTATGGATTTTGGAAAGCGTTTTGCTTGTGCTTTCAGTGCTGTGTGACCCTTGTGCTTCTACCTAGTGTCACTGCAGGTTAGTAGTGTGCTTATTTCGATGCTCATCTGTCCTTCAGGACAGCCAGTGGATTAGTGCTAGCACACAGCAGAGTTTTCTTTTTGTATGATCCTCAAAAGGAACATAAAGCTGTGTACTGTGTACATCCACATTCAGCTTTTTGCTAACAACACTCAGTTGATTACAGTATATGAGTTGCTTGTGTGTTGTCATATTCGCTCAAGATGGAGCCCTTTTTAGCACCTTCTTTCCACTCTGTTCTTTACTCCACTCAGTCCATGAACAAACCTGTATCTACGTGGGTATGGAGGATTACCCACTCTATACCTCTCTTCATGAACAAACCCGTATCTACGTGGGTATGGAGGATTACCCACTCTATACCTCTCTTCATGAACAAACCTGTATCTACGTGGGTATGGAGGATTACCCACTCTATACCTCTCTTCATGAACAAACCTGTATCTACGTGGGTATGGAGGATTACCCACTCTATACCTCTCTTCATGAACAAACCTGTATCTACGTGGGTATGGAGGATTACCCACTCTATACCTCTCTTCATGAACAAACCCGTATCTACGTGGGTATGGAGGATTACCCACTCTATACCTCTCTTCATGAACAAACCTGTATCTACGTGGGTATGGAGGATTACCCACTCTATACCTCTCTTCATGAACAAACCCGTATCTACGTGGGTATGGAGGATTACCCACTCTATACCTCTCTTCTGCTGTTGCTGCTTTGATCCAGGACAACCAGAAAGCTTGACCTGTAAAACTGTTTACCTCCCTCTGGGCCCTGTCACCTTTCGGTGTGTAATCAGATGAGCAGCCAGTTAACCTTTTAAAGAGTGCTTTAGATTATGTCACACCTTAAAGCCTTCCCTGAACTTTGCTTACCCCTGGTATGAACCAGGTGTGCACTATGACACCATGTCATCGTCTGTGTTCCTTGCCTGCTGGTTCATCTACACTGGCCTCCTTTTTCACTAAACAAAGCAGGTAGCTTCTGCCTCAGAGTTTGCATTTTCTATTTCTGTAGGCTGGAGTCTTCTTTCTATGATTCTCCTTACCCTTTTACTATCTCCTGTCCTCTACCCTATCCTTCTCTTTGGTACTTGTCAGTGCTGCATTTGATACATTTTTATCCATATGCTTGCCTATTTTTATCCCCACTAGAAGTTAATCTTTAAAGGACAGGGATTATTTGTATTTAGTTTAATCCTGGCTATATGGTTGCCGTATCCAATAATCTATGACATACAATAGATTTTTCAGTGCATTTTTGTTCCATGAGTGAAAAAAAATTAGATATAGGAAAGAAATAACATTATTTTCTTTGTTTAGGGAACTGATGACTAATCCTTTTTTTAAAACTAAAGCTTAGTAACTGTTATAAACTGGGAAAAAAACTTTAAGTAAATATAAAATGTCAGTTATTACCTTGGAGTACCACTGAAGAATATAACATTGTATTAGATGGTGTGTATCAAGTAATCAAGAATTAGACTTTACCTTTCTATACAGAGTATGGTACTGTTTACTGTGCCAGTGGTATTACCGTCTGTATTGCTGCTTATACTATGGTAAGCGTCCTAGATGTGCTGATGCTTTTACAGAGACTCCTTGTCATCAGCCTACTGGGTTTTTATCTGGTTAAGAGGCTGTAATTAACACAGTAAGATTTCATCTCAGTGTTAAATGAACATTTAAAATATATAATCTTACTTACATCAAGAATAAAATTTTTGCTTAGAAAAATACAGTTAGCAACTCTGAAATTGTGAAATTATTTTTAATACCTTTAGGTTTTCTCACATTAATGGCCATCAGATTTTGCACAGAAGGCCATGGGCTCATGGTTGTAGTACTCAGCTTAGGTTGCAGCCCTGTACTCTAGCATAGTGTCACTCTTGTGGCTATCAAGTGGTTCTTAATTCAAGACTAGCTGAATGCTGGAAATTGTACTTTTATGGTTTGCTGTTTGCTTATGCTTTCACGTAACTCACTTATTACTTCTCTGAAAGTAGAACAGCAAATTATGACATTTCACATCATCATCCCATGCCGAGCATTCTTACTCCTCTGTAAAACTGTATTATTGATTTTAGAATCCATGAATGAATTCAAGAATCTACTAATGACGATTTCTGACTTTAAGATTCTTTAAACTTAAACAACCTATATATAGTATTAAGAAATGTAAGTCAATATTTGTAATTTTGAACACAGTTATCAGTAGGCTGAATTGTACCCTGTGGCTACAAGGACATTCCTGAATCCATTTGTATGTTGTACTATTTGGCAGAACTAATTAATTAGTTGGTGAAACAGACTTAAAAGGCTCTTCTTTTGGTATCGATCTGAGAATCAATTGCAATTCTTTTTATCATCTTATATGTCAAACATTTAACAAAAAATTTAAAAATGTCTGGTTGAAACAATAGGAATGATGATGTGATATTAAGTCACTATTGACAAAGTAACTTGTGATGATTATTAGAACTCTTGACTCCGTGCATGAACTGTGATTTATTCTAGATTAAAATAAAAAGATAGGTCTGCTATATATATTGCCATATGTCCGTTACTTAAAGTGTACAATGAAGTGTTAACTCCCTGTAGTCCTCACATGGCTGTGCTATCTTCAACACTGGTTAAAGAGATAGTGAACTGAAAATTATCTAGGACCACTAACAAGGCTGCTAAGATTTTTGTGTCAGATTTTTTTTGAAATTTTTATTTTGTTAAATAGGAGAAAAAAGACCAGATATCCATTTGTATACATTTAAAGAATGTGGCAAGTTGAAATTAAAATGTCAAATTTTCATCAATATAATGTAACATCATTGAATTTCATATTTTCTACTTGGTTGGAGCTCTGATGTATGCATCACTCTAAGAAAACTAGGGCATCAGGAGCTGATTTAAGCCTTGGAAGTAGATGTAGAAGTTTTAAATAATTCATATAGGCAGTTTGTATTTGTATTTCGATGTTCTGGTACATTTTCTTTTGCAATCATGACATATGTACCATTGAGTAATTTGGCCTTCTTGTTGCTCCCCTGAGCATACAGCTTGTCTCAGGAGGAAGTGAAGGTGTTTGTCTTATTTGTGTAGTTCCTCAACTCCTCGAACCTGGATCTTAGGAAGGTTTACTGCTTTACACTAACAAAATCCTTCAATTTCACAATTGTTTTCTTCAAAGTGAACTTGTTCAGCAAGAGAAGACTATTTTAAAGTCTTCCTAGACTTACATATAGCACTTGATAGCACCTGGCAATAGTTTAAGACCATAGAAAAAAGACTTCTATGGTATTTGGTAGTTTGTTGGGCTTTCTTTTTTGGTTTGTATGTTTTTTTTTTTAATACTGTACTTGCTAAATTTTTACCACATTCTATACATACGGCATTCCGTGACGAAACCTGTTTCAGTAAGTATATTTCTTTAGCTTGTGATGTTAGAATAACTTACCCCATGTAGACTTAGTATTTTCTAACAATCATTTTAAAAAGCTCTGTCAGACCCACTCACATAAAAATTAATATTAGGAGATTACCATTTGGGTCATTTGTTTTTATCTATGAAAAAACTCACCATTTTTAAACTCATCTTTTCTTTAAACTCTAGAATTTTATATAATATGGCCTACAGATACTACTTAATGGACAATTAACCAATCTTTAATTTTTACTATTTATGTTTAGTTGCTTTTTAATATTAATGGCTACTCTGTAATAATATCAATAAATGGTCCATTTGCATCTAATAGTTAAATATTATTAAAATGTTCTCTCTAAAATATTAGCTATTCTCTTTGACAGTCTATCTTGAAACAATGGCATGGAATTATGCAAATATAGTGGAAATTCTTTAATTTTATAACTATTCATGTATATTACCCATTGATTGTTAACAGGCGATTACTGCATTAATTTTTATTTTGTGTCTGTTAGTCTCATTTGATAATAGCTCATTTTAAATATATCGTTTTTTATTTTTAAAATTATCAAATAATGTTCTTTACTATTACATATCTTTCATATGAAATTTGTAGTACTTTTTATTTAAGAAAAATATTTTTGAGAGAATTATTAAACCAGCAACTTATGTAGTATGCTCACTTAACAAGATTCTATGGTTTTTCATTCTTTTAAAAGATAAGTTCTGATCTTATAAAGATACATATT